ATATATAAACTAATAACTGAGACCCCTAGAAATGCAGGGAGGGCTACAAACAGCACAGTTTTAGCTGATCCCTCTGAGTGGTTTTACCAAGTACATAACTTCAGGAGCCAGATATTTATATCTTAGTATATTTCAGAGTTCTTCTCGGGAGCAGGTGCAGAACCCCGAGTTTTCTGAGATAACAGTAATGATTGAGTGAATCACTAAACCAGAAATAGAGTCTAGACAGAATACTTCCTTTCCCCTCAGTCTCTCAGTGGCCAATTTGACCATGTTAATCTTACTTACAAGTTAATTGGGGGTTGCTTAACAAGAAGCTGCCTGTTGTTGTTAGCTGCCGTTTAGTCAGTTCAGACTCATAGCAACCCTGTGTACCACAGAATGAAACACTGCCGGGTCCTGTACTATGTTTACATCAGTGCTGTGTTGGAACTCATTGCTGCTACCACTGTGTCGATCCATCTTGTTGAGGATCTGCCTCTTTTTCACTGACCCTCTGCTTTTCCAAGCATGATGTCCTTCTTCAGGGACTGGTGCCTCCTGAAAACATGTCCAAAATATGTGAGACAAAGTCTTGCCATCCTCACTTCTAAGTAGCATTCGAGTTGTACTTCTTCCAACCCAGATTTTTTCATTCCTCTGGCAGTCCGTGGTATATTCAATGTTCTTCATCGACACCATAATTCAAATGTTTCAATTCTTCTTTGAAACTGCCTAGTTACCTGAAATACATGTCTATCTTCTCCTTTCAAGGAGGTTTTTAGAAGACTTTTCTGCCTGGAGTTTTCTTTTGACACCTACTAAGACAGAGATCCATTCTTTTGGTAAATTTGAAGTAGAAATAACCCAATGCTAGTTATTCTCAGACTTACCAATTTGTTAGATTTACCAGGGGAGCTTTTAGAAATTGTCATGGGTTGACTGGTGTCTCCCCAGAATATATGTCATCTTGGCTGGGCCATTATTCTCGATGGTTTGGCAATTATGCAATGATGTTATTTGGCAGTTGTGTGATGATCCCTCATGATGTGATCTGGTATGATAAGCTAATCAGCTATAAAAGGATTAGAGTGGGATGTTGTTGTTGTTATGTGCCCTTGAGTCAGCTCCAACTCATAGTGACCCTATGTACAACAGAATGAACTACTGCCCGGTCATGAACCATCCTCACAATCCTTGCTATACTTGAGCCTATCGTTGCCGCAACTATGTCAGTCCATATCATTGAAGGTCTTCCCTTTTTTGCTGACTCTCCACTTTGTCAAGCATGATATCCTTCTCTAGGGAATAGTCCCATCTAACAACATGACTGTGGTAGTTAATGTTGTGTGTCAACTTAACTGGGCCTGTCTTTGAATGTCCAGTCACCAGCAGTGTTCTGGTTACCCAGTGCTGCTCTGACAAGAATATACCACAAATGCAATGGCCTTAACAACAGGAGTTTATTCTTATAATTTGGAGGCTTTAAGTCCAAGTTCAAGGTGCCAGGCTCTAGGGGCTGGGTGAAAGCTCCTCAACATTGGGGTCCAGCTCTGCCTCCTGCTCCCAGCCCACTGGAGCTAGAGGCATTTCTTCACTCAGACAGCTGCTGGCTGCTAAGGCTGAGAACCACCAAGGTTGACAAGTAAAAAGGCACAGTCCCAATGTTACCAAACCACATGGCAGGCCATTAACTTAAGTCCATTGTAAATCCCAAGGTTGGCAGAGCATAGTAGGCTGCTGAGCAACGACATGGCTCCAAGGGTCCAAGCGTGCTATAGGCTGGAGATCATTCCCAAGGCTTCTCCTTAAATACAAGAAGCAGACCACATTCCCAAAGGCAGCTACTCAGCTCCTCACAGTAGATTCCACCATGGAGTTGATTACCAGTCTCATCATGGGGAATACTACATCTATCTGCCCAGCCACTCAACCAGGCCTAGCCAAGTTGACACACAAACATAACTACCACAGGCGGGATGCAATTATTATATTAGAGCAAAGATCTCTCCTTGAAGACCAAGATGTGCCATAGTATTTGAAATTGCCTCATATGCATGTGAAAGCTGGACAATGAGTAAGGAAGACTAAAGAAGAGCTGATGCTTTTGAGTTGTGATGTTGGAGAAGAATACTGAAAATACCATGGACTGCTAAAAGGACTAACAAATCTGTCCTGGAAGAAGTGCAGCTGGAGGGCTGCACTTGGAAGCAAGAATGCCCAGACTTTGTCTCACGTACTTTGGTCATGTTGTCAGAGGGGACCATTTGAAAGAGGTCTTTTGCAACAAATTTCCCCAATGCAATACATCTTTTGATGCCTTGATTGCTGCTTCCTTTAGCATTGATTGTAGAACCAAGCACTATGAAGTCTTT